ACTGTGTGGGTGTCGACACCACAGTCCCCCAGTTTCTTAATGAGAACGGGGTGAGAGACAGTGTTGAAGGCCTTCCGAAAGTCCAGAAAGACGATGTCCACTGCTACCCCTGCATCTAAGGATTTGGTGACCTGGTCGTAGAAGGCCACCAGGTTGGTCTGACAGGACCTGCTGCTAATGACCCCGTGTTGGTTTCCCCTAAGCATGCAGTCCCCTGCTGTCCCCTCCTGGATGTGTGCCAGAATAATTTTCTCAAACAGCTTGCCTAGGATCGAGGTAAGACTAGCTGGCCTATAGTTTCCTGGGTCCTCCTTCCTCCCTTTTTTGAAGATGGGAACCACGTTGGCCCTCTTCCAGTCCTCCGGCACCACACCAGAGCACCACGAGTGCTCGTGCAGCCGTGCCAGGGGTCCCGCAATGACCTCAGCTAATTCCCTCAGCACCCTCTGGGGTGGAGATTGTCCGGACCGGCTGATTTAAATACATCCAGACTCAGGAGGGGTGTGTCTCTTATTGTGACTCCGTGGTTAACATGGACTGTTCTTGTGGGAAGTCAGGACTGAGTGTCATTGTAGCAGTTTGCTCAGTTAGCTACCTGCCTTCTTTGGAGGCGAATTGCATTAAAAACAGCAGCAACCAACTCAAGTCATGCTCAGCTCAGAGCCTTCCTTGACCCTCTGGAGGCTGGGCTGGAATAGGTGATGCATGTTGAATGCATTGGAGTTTATCCATTGGAATCTGTCTGGCTCGTTAGTTGTAGTGCCAGCCTGTCAGGCCAAAATGGATTATTTCATTATTCTTTCCTTATTTTCACAAAGGATGGATTCATCAACAAGAACAGCTAGAACAAGGACTGATAGGTGGCATTAGTGTACCCCAGCAATAAGTCGGACATGCATTTCTGTGAACATTCACATAACACGTTTGGGCGGCATAAGGACAACTGGAGTGATTCATAGTCACCAAAGAGAGCCGTACACACAGAGCCATATAAATTCACTGCTGATGGTAGGGCGTGCACCAGCGTTGGAGAAATGGATTTGTGCTTCAGGCACTTAGGCAGCACCATGATGTTAAGTTCACAGTTAAAGCTATTCCCCAAGCGCAGGTGCAAAGATTTTCTGGAAACACATTTTAGTAAATCGGTTGTTTTAATCCTGATAAACTAGGATTAAGTTGCACAACCTTAAGTCACTGATAAAAATCACCAGTCAGAATATTAAATGAGAGGGGTACTGTAGGGGTTTGTGACCATTGATTTTCTTTGCTCTGGTGGGAACACAAGACTTGCGTATCTCGGTGGGATTTTACCACTTTGGGCTCTGACAAGACTAGTTGGCTTTCTTTGTACTTCCTGGCAAGCTGGTTAAGAAATGAGATAGCAGTGAAGCAGTTGTGTGACAAGGAAGTAGTCATTCATCTCGCATGAATTGCTGTCCCAGTTTATAGTAGTGCCTGCTACAATTGCTTGGAGTTCTGCATATTCCCTCTAACTTCTTGCCTCTGAGAAGCAACCCTGTCCTGCAGATTTTTCTTTAAGAGATTAACCTGTGTAATCTGTCTGCCTGGATGTAGTTCTTGGTCACTTTCTTCTTTCTGAGGATCATAAGTACCCTCTCCAGTACAACTTCTTGGGCATGTTGGCTTCCACGTGGGTATAATTAAGTCATTTGAATTTTGCCTCAAATTTCCAGTCAATATTTAAATAACCCTTTTTGCTGTACAAGTCAGTGTTCAGATCTCTGTTGAAAGGGCATTGTTTCTTACTGGAAAGAGTGGAATGATTGGCTTATCTGAATGGCTCACTTATGAATAGTTCTGACTATATATATTTCTACCGGATATCAGAGAAACGAATTTTGTCTTCTACTAGAGGTTCAATGTAAGGCTGTTGTGTCTGAACGCTAACATTTCACTTCAAGCAGAGCTGACTGCAAAAAAGAGATGGAGCTCTCTTTTCTTTTTTTTTTTTTTTTTTTTTTTTTTGGC